AGGAATTTATCGAAAAGAATATTCTTTCCTCAATCATTTTGTGTTTTATAGATGTCTGAATGAATATTTTTGCTATAGACAAAACAGTTATAAAGGGGAGAGGACATAGAATGATACTTTTTTATTTTAGAGTCCATATTTTACTCATAAAACGTCAATACAACCAATTTGAAGTAAATTCATTGATTAACCCGCATATATATATATATATATATATATATATATATATATATATATATATATATTCGCGACTATAATAGACACTTGTATTGAGGACAGTAGATAATTACACTCAAATTGACGTTGGTACAAAGTATTACTAAGTTAGTTGTTCGCTGAGTACAATTTCCTCAGACAATGAAATATGAACATTGAGGTTATGCTTAAAAGTAGAAAATCAAAAAAAAACTAAATGAGCTTTGGCTATTTAATACTACTTATAGGCAATATATACATATATTACTGGTAACAGTGAAGACTTAAACAATAGCCCATATTGATTAGTAAGTATATGCTTTCTTATTCAGGTCAAGGTGATTTTTAATACTGTATGTATGACTGCAATTCATGTTTACATGATGTCATCTGATAAAGAATAGTCAAAGAATAATCAATTAGGCATACGTTGACTCATCAGTAATTTTTTCCAAAGAAGATTATCATGCTTAGTTATTCGGGTCACTATTAGAGAGAGAAAGAGGTATATGAAAGTCAATGATACTGTTACTGAATTCTCCGTTCTCTACATGCACAACAAGAGGAAATGTGAAGAAATTCAACTAAGAAGTATATGGGAGCGTAAAATGAGACATGTGCGTCGGTAGCATAGCGCTTAGGACGCTCGCCGACCATCCACATGGTCCGGGGTTCGATTCCCGACAGCCAACGCACTCCTTTACCTCGCTAAGCCAGAAATAAAAGATGGTAAGGAGGAGAGGTTGGGCATGAGGTTAGCGCAATCCCATCCTGTAAAAATAAACACTACTGCTACAGAAACTTCAAGCCTCTAGCTTGAAGCCGTATGTTCCACTGGGAACGTGGAGGAATAAAAAGAAAGAAAATGAGACATCCTCTCCTCTGAAATAAAACAACAAAATAGGTGAATTACATTTGAGATTATGAGCAACAGATATATGTTAATGAGATGACATGGCATAACAGTACTTCTATGGTTAGTCCTACTCCATTAAAAATATATGAAAGCGGTTTGTGGCTATATGTGTCTAAAGCAGTGGTAAGCAGTTGACTGATTCTTTGACGTAGAATCTGGGACAAAATTCCGGCAGTTCAGGTCACCACACTCTCTGTATAGCAGAGGAAACAAGAGGGAAAAATTTAAAAGAGCTCTGAAGTCTTGGGGTAGCAGTGATTTTCATTTCTATGGGGTGAAGTTGTTTGCCTCACTTCCTTTTTTACCGGACTGACTACCACCAGTTCAGAGAGATTTAGGAGTACACTGGCCGAGGATCGAATCCTGGACCACGTGAGGCGGCGTCGTTGGTGAGCGTTCCTACTGCTGAACCATCGACGCACTCAGAGAGCTATAATGAACGGAAATGTAATGCAGAAAGAATAATTACCTGGAAAATAATGAGGATTTGGTGGACTTACGAGTTTGTAAATAGTGAATGTATCTGAGACATTAAGAACGATTCTGAGCCATATCACCGAAAGTCTTAGTGTCTGAAGAATCCCAACTAGGTGGTCTACACTTCTCTATGTAGCTTAAACTAACAGTCAAAGACTTTATAAGCACTGACCCCGTCTCCTTGATACAATCACCAGTAACTCATTTTTTTCCAATCTAAGCTGACATTAAATCGGTAATAACTGGGGATAGACATATTGTGTAATTAGGGGTTAGAAATGTAGAAATAAAAAATTTGACAGGATCGTTGAATAAAAAAATCTAATGGGATCATAACTAGTGTAACGAATAATTGTGTATGCAGTTCGGAATTATACATGCAGAAATAATAAAATGACAATATTGATGGGAAGTTCGGATATGAAAACATGGTAGTGTAAATAAGTATTAAGAAAAACTTAAAAATAACATGAATAAAAGTTTGGATAAGAAAGGAAATGGGATGGTCATTTGAAGATAACTGAAGAAGCATTAGAATCTGAAAAACAACTGACATAAAATGTGTAACACAAGCAGAAGAGAAGACGTTAAGCGAAGGGACTCTTTTCACCGGCGAATTCATTCGCATAGCTCTGTACAATCACATTTATATAAAATTATTTTTGTGTGTGTGTGAAAATGAGGTTTATCAAGTTTAGATAATTAATCAGATAATACAAGAATGATCTAATATAGAAACAAGGTTAATTGGACAGCAAGATTGAGTTAGTAAGTTTGATGACGTAATATAATTGACTAAAATGTTTCAACTTAATTCAGGGTAGAAACAGAGGTAATTACAGGTAGAGACTAAGTAGAAGTGGGGTAGAGAATAATGCCATTTAAATTAGAACTGAAAATGAGCAAATAAGTTGGATGACGTGACATAAATGACTAGAAATTGAACGTTGGTCAAGTCAGTCATAGAGGTAATGAAGTGTAGAAATTAAATCGGGTGGGGGTGGGGAACAGGGAAGTTGAAAATGCAAGTTATTACTGTTGTAAAGACAAAATAATACTAATGAAGGGACGGAAGAGAAAAAGAAATAGAATTTACCTGTCGGGTATTAAGACAGATTATGTCCGTTTCAAGTGTAGTGATTGAACGAACTTCTTGTGTATAGAGAGTTCATGGTTTAGCAAGTGAATTGCCATTGCTTCTACATTTTGAAGAAGTTTGACTCGTACACTTTTAGGAAGACTGCTTCGTATTCTGTAGACGACTTTGAAGTTTGTTTCGGGTGTAGCTTGGTGTCTGGAATCTGTCAGATGTTCTAAGATAGAGTTGGAGGGGGGCATCGTTTTCCCTTTTGTAAAACGATGCTGGTAAGTGTTCGGTGAAACGTATGGAAAGCGAACACTGGCTACGGCCGATATACCTGGCTCCACACGAGAAGGTGATTTGGTAGATACACATTGATGAGGCTAGCAGTGGTAGCTTATCCTTCACGTTCACATGAATCATAGGTTTTGTGGAGAAGGTTAGTCGTAGTTCAGGTGTGAAGAAGATCTTCTCAAGTGAGCGCGACAGCCGATTTTTTACTGTTTCCGCAGATATATCTCCATTGAATTGAAGATTCATGTACAGTAGTTTTTTTGGACGCTAAGAATGGGTGGCTTTTGTGGTCTAGGATTCATAGATTTTGCAATAAATCGTTCTGGATAACAATTTTCGACGAGGATTCTCTTGAGATTGTTCAGTTCGTCTTCTATGGTGTCCGGGGTGAAAATTCTGCGAACTCTGTAGCTGAGTGAACGGATCAGGTTTCGTTTGGTGTATAGAGGTACCCAACAGTGAGAGTTAGTAAGCTGTCCATTCCACATTGACTTTCTGTAGATAGATCTTTTCAGTGTTCCATACTGATGTCGTCTTGTTAGTTGTCAAGAAAGGATATTTTGAAGTTGGACACTTTCTCTAAAGTGAACTGAATCGCAGGGTGGCAGTTGTTAAAGGACTTCAAGATGTCGTCTAGAATTTCTTCATTGCTGCTGATAATGAAAGTGTCGTCGACGTATCTCTTATAGATTTCGTAGGTATCGATTATTTTCTTCAGGCATATGTTTACGAGTTTTGCCATGGAGAAATTTGCAAACAATGGGCCTAGTGGTGAGCCCATAACTATACCATCCTTTTGGCCATATATTTCGTTGGTAAAAGAGAATTGAACATTCAGGGTACACCTCAGTAGTTTTTTAAGAAGCTCAGTGGGTATACCGATGTTTATTCCCTTTGAGTGAATAAATTCGCATATATAGCATATGCGAAGCTGAAGAACTGTGAATTCACTGTTGAAGAGTCCGAGTCTATGATAAACTGATTTTAAATTGAATGTCTGATTGAAATACCTTCAAGCTCAAGGGTATTGATATTACTTCAGATATTCATGCTTATCTAGTACGCGGTAACCAACAGATACATTCTCAGTGAGCTATTCAAGCTGCTAGTCATCCGTTGTAAAACTGAACAGTAATCAACATCATATTATCCACAGAAAAAATCCATTATATTCTACTCTTCTGCTTTACTGACCAAAGATGACAAGTATATTATAAACAAAGAGCTACATATTAAATGACAGCGACTACTATCTATTCACTTGAAAAAGTTAATTCTAGAATCCAATTAAAATAACAATAAGTTTCGATAATCATGATATGGTATCCACTTTAACCATACAAAAATTCCATTTTTTTTCATCATTTGAAATCGGTTAGAAAGTCGTTGGAAAACCAGCACCGGAGTACTGGACAGCCAGCTGTTTCACCCTAGTTCATGGAACTCTTCATCAGTATGCTCTCCCCACCAGGGTTCGAAACCAGGACAGGACCTCCCGGTTACAAGGAGAGCTTGTAAAGTCTTAAGCAGCCGGTGGGACCCGATCAAATGGGCAGTCAGTGATTTTCAACTTCTAGCAATTCATGCACGATATAGCGCAGCTGGCACTAGGCAATGTCATCGGTGGTGGTAAGTATTTGTCCTCATACCACTCTGGTAACGACTACTTTGCTGAAGAATCTCAAATACTAGGACGAAATAGCTACCCCGTAGTCTCTTTTAGTTTCCCAATGGTTCCCTGATTGATGTCAGCTCATGATGAAATCCTGTAACCAATTAACCTACAAGCCAACAATTAAACTTCAATTCTCTTGACTGTTATTATACCGAGAGACATAAAATTGATTAAACCCAAATTATCGTAAAACATACCTATTATTAAACAAAGGCAAATTTTTAAGGGATATGCACAGCACATATATATGTGTATATATCATTTGTTCATTTCATTTACACTAGCATGACTAATAATTTAATAGTTTTCACAGATGAAACAACATATTATTTCAAAAACTATACAAAAGCCTGCTGACTCACCATCTGTCATTATCGATTTTCCGGTTAATATACACTGATTCAACAGTTCTGTGAAGATTAGTAACATTTGATGTTGGTGCTACTGCTGCTGCTGATGATGATGACAAAGGTAACAAAGGAGAGAAGGAAGTACTGAAGACAGGTGATAAGTTAGTATATTTAACTGCATTATTATTGTTATTATTATTGTTGTTATTATTGATCTGTGGAAAACGAGTCATCTCAGGAGATAACTGGAAAGGAAATAAAAATAATAAAAGTGAGTGAATGGCTGTAGAAGTGACTAAAAGTAAACGAACTGAAAGAAAATGAAAATTCGCCGATGACACTGATTAGTGCTAGTCGCATTGCATCTTGAATTATTGACCGAAGTTGGAATTCAAGGGCCTGGCCATTGGATCGGGTCCAAGTGGCTACTGAATGATCTAGGAGCTTTCTCGCCTTATAACTGGTAGATAGCGAGTTCGAAGCCTGACGATGGATGCATACTGCTGTGCCAGAGTTCTATGAACTAGGACGAAACAACTGACTGTCCAGTAGTCTGTGGTGGTTTTCTGATGGTTCTCTAACCGATGTCAGCTCATGATGAAATCTTGAAATTAGGTGACCCAATGTAATACACAAGTTTACAGAGAACAGGAATGAACGTGTAATCTAATATTCAATTATACTTGTGATTACCCGTCTGAACCGAACTGATCAGTCTCATTTCTCCGTGAACACTACTTGGACAAATGCCTCGATACCACTATTAATAATGATAATCCATTTTATTCCAAAAACAATGCATATGATACAGTGTAGAATTTTCAGCATTTTGAAAAATATTCCACCTAGAAGTTAACTGGTGGATGGTGACTGGCAGTGGAATCCAATCAAAATGCATATTTCGTCCTATTTGGGACTCGCCATCTGGATGTACCTTCATTCCCCAGTGAGTCAATAGTGATGGTGTTCCCACCGAGACTTCACTTATTTGGGAAGTACCATCAGCCCCAACGGATTGATCTCTGACGAAATCTCAACACGGATACAGAAGGCTAGTTTCGCATGTACCAGTTGACGCCGTCTCTGGCTTAATAGACGTAATATCTGACTATCGACCAAAGGGCAGGTGTACTGCTCAGCAACACTTTATGGATGTGAGACCTGGCCATTGAGAGTGGAAGACATGGAAATACTAGCTGGCTGTCTTTCATCATAGGTGCCTGCGTTCTGTCTCCCGTGTGAAGTGGCATAATAAGGTGAGCAACATTGAAGTTAGGCGTCGAGTTCTAGGTAAACAGGGGAAATCAATCGACGAAGTCGTGAAGTTACAAAGACTGAGATGGTTAAGACATGTGTTACACAAGAATGCCAAGCCATCGCCTCCCTCGACGAGCAATGTTAGCGGATATAGGGTCAGGCTGGAAAAAGGCTAGCGGCGGTCAAACAAAAACTTGGCATCAGTCAATGAAATCCACAACAGTTGGTCTAAGCCAGTCACGTAGGAAGGTGTAGACTTCCAGGCTGGTTAGGTTCCTCGCGACAGTAAAACTCTATGGTTGGAAACAATTGGTGACATGGCTCAAAATCGTTCTCAGTGGCTAGCGCAGATGCATCCACTCCTTGTGACTTATGATCTCCAATGAAACAGTTTTGCTCTTCGTTATTACTCTTCGTTTGTCTCACACCTCTTTTCACTGTTTCTGTTATGCTTTTCTTGTACTTTCTTCTCTTGCTTCGCGTGCTACACGGAGTGTGGCGACTTGAACTTCCGCACATATGTGCAAAGTTCTATGTCGAAAACAGATAGAAAGACAGACCGAGACTCGAACCCACTGCTCGTAGTTTCAAGCGCCAAGCCGTTATCCACTAGACCACTTGGGCCATGACAGCCATGTCTTGTGCAACGGGTCGTATCAATTATTTCAAGTGTTAGTTCGCGGAGAATTGATTGATTTCAATGTACAGTTGTTTCATCCTTATTTTGGACTCTTCAACAATACACCGCTATGACTTCACAAGGGATTGAATCTAGGCCCTTCAAGTTAAACGGTAAGGGAAGCTTGTTGACTGTTCAGCCAATGAGATGGAATCTGGTGGGCTCATTATTAATTCTGACTTCTGGCAATTCATGATATGTAGTACGACTACTAGCTAATGCCATAAGCGAGTATTTGTCCTCACATACCACAAACATACATACACCCTCCCCCAACCTGGTGGACTCACAACTGATTAAAACTTCTCCCTAGATTAATGCTCAAGTTTTGGTTATCAAGGGATTTTATTGATTTCAAGTACTAATTTTGTCGTCAAGGCGAATAAAATTCCTTTTCGTTTACCGTTAAATTAACCAATAGTAAGATGGGAAATGAAATAAAGGATAATACATAATAAAAACATGAAACTTATCGATCTTTACCCATATTAGTAGGAGAAAAACAAGACCAAGTGAATAAATGTGACAAAATTAACGTAATATTTATCTTCACATCCTGATAAGTGATTTTTACAAACGCATAACGTTAGTATTCGTGACATACACCTCAATTACCGATGTCAAATGTATGGTGAGGTCATTTTAAGGATTGGGAGTAAGTACGGTTACCAAAATGTGCTAATGGACTGACTATTCGATGGTGAAATCTTAACACTGGATAAAAATGACTAATTCAGCATTGGCCGACTTGCTTGAACAAAAGCATCAGACTGACTGACTGGCTAGTTTCAACATAAAACTGGTCTGCACACACGTCCACCAGTTCAATTCGCCAAACTCCATCCACGGAGAACACAACGCAGCAGAAGACAGTGAACACAGATTCATTAGGTGACAGATAATAAACACAGTTGTGAGCAAGCGAAAAAGAATAGTAACATGGAAGAACAACAGGGTCCTATTGGCTGTATATGACAAATCAATCAGAAGGAGTGAATGCATCTCTGCCATCATCAAGACCGAGGATTTTGAGCCATATCATTAATTGTCACCAGCCGCCATATGTTATTAACATCTCGAGGAACCCAACAAGTCACGTAGTTTACACCTTCCTACGTGGCTTACACTAAATGTTGTGGATTCCACTGACTGATGAAGACATGTTTTCATTTGACCACCACTAGCGGCTCTTTTCCAACCTGATTGATCCTACGTCAGTCAGTCAGTCAAGATTACCCGTCGAGGAAGGCGATGGCTAGACATGCATGCGTAACACGTCCTAACCATCAGACACACCTGGTTAACCAACAATTTATTCCACCCTGCTCCACGGTGGTGAGACATACCAGCTGAAGGTAAATGTGAAAAGACTAGGGATTTTACAAATTCCAATTCAGTTCATTCAGTTGCTCACATTAAGTTATAATTGTTATTTCCTTTAATTCATAGAGGAACAATGGGCCTCGGGTTGGTGTAAGTCACTGATTATCCCCATATACAAGAAGGGAGACAAGTCTTCCTGTGATAATCACAGAGGGATTAGCTTGACTAATATAGTATCTAAAGTCTTAGGCTCAATAATCATGCGTAGACTGAGTGGTGCTCGGGAAGCACAAACACGAGAGAGCCAGGCAGGCTTTAGACCAGGAAGAGGGTGTATTGATCATATCTTCACCCTCCGACAGATTCTAGAACATAGGCATTCCTACCGGCGTCCAACAGTCATTATATTTCTTGACCTAAAGGCAGCATTCGACTCTGTCGATCGGGAAGTTCTCTGGAGATGCTTGGCTGTCAAGGGAATTCCGAGAAAATATATTGCACTGATTAAGGCACTCTATTCGTACTCATACAGCCAGGTGAGGGCTTACGGCGAGCTGTCATCTGAACTGGTGACGACCAGTGGTGTCCGTCAAGGATGCCCATTATCTCCTTTTCTATTCAACTTCATCATAGATGTGTTAATGGACTTAACCCTAGGTGACTTCAGCGATTCAGGGATTGACTTGCTACCTGGGAATAATCTCGTTGACTTGGAATATGCAGACGATATAGTCCTTCTAGGCGAAGACGCTGACGAAATGCAGAGTCTTCTAAACACCTTGAACAGCAATCTACGAATGTTTGGCATGCGATTCGCTCCCGCCAAATGCAAGATGATGTTACAGGACTGGACTACACTGGCTCCTAGTTTAGAAATAGGAAGTGAAGTGGTAGAGCACGTTGACCGCTTCACTTATTTGGGAAGTACCATCAGCCCCAACGGGCTGATCTCTGACGAAATCTCAGCACGAATACAAGGGGCTCGTTTCGCATTTGTTAGTTTACGCCGACTCTGGCGTAGACGAGATGTTCGACTATCGACCAAAGGGCGGGTGTACTGCTCATCAGTCCGCTCCGTCCTCCTTTATGGTTGTGAGACCTGGCCACTCAGAGTGGAAGACATGAAAAGACTAGCTGTCTTTGATCATAGGTGCCTGCGTTCTATATCCCGTGTAAAGTGGCATAATAAGGTGAGCAACATGGAGGTTAGGCGTAGAGTCCTAGGTAAACAGGGGAAATCAATCGACGAAGTCGTGAAGCTACATCGACTGAGATGGTTAGGACATGTGTTACGTATGCCAAGCCATCGCCTCCCTCGACGAGCAATGTTAGCGGATATAGGGTCAGGCTGGAAAAAAGCTAGCGGCGGTCAAACAAAAACTTGGCATCAGTCAATGAAATCCACAACAGTTGGTCTTAGCCACGTAGGAAGGTGTAGACTTCCAGGCTGGGGTCCTCGGGACGGCAAAAATCTATGGTTGGAAACAATTGGTGACATGGCTCAAAATCGTTCTCAGTGGCGCAGATGCATCCACTCCCTGTGACTTATGATCTCCAATGAAACTGTTTTGTATTTCTTTATTACTCCTTTGTCTCACACCTCTGCTCACTGTTTCTATTTGCTTTTCTTGTACTTTCTTCTCTTGCTTCGCGTGCTACACGGAATGTGGCGACTTGAACTTCCGCACATTTGTGCAAAGTTCTATGTCGAAAACAGAGACAGAATGGGCCTCACCTGCACGTCTCCACTGCGTTCGGTTCTCTAATAAAATTTTCACCTGGCTCCAAGTCTGTCCACATGCTTTCATCTCCTCTTCACATGACCTCCTCCAAGTCACCCCACCATCGCACTGACGACCAACTCGCCGCTTCCCTTTCAGGTTCCACTTGAGGGCTTATCTAGTGATGTCACTTGATGGTTTTCTAAGAGTATGGCCAATCCATCTCCATTTCTTCCTGCTTATTTGTTGCACAATCGGTTCCAGGTTGGTTTGTTCCCAGAGATACCTCTCGCTGATCTTTTCTGGCCGGCCATCTGATCTTTGGCGAAGTATTGAGAGAAGACAACTGTTAATGAAGGTTTGTAGCTTGTTTGAGGTGCTCTTTATGACGCGCTGGCCAAGTCTCTGATGCGTATAATGAGTAACAATGAATTCACATTGGAGTTGAAAATCCAGACGTTATTTTGCATGCTGAGTGCTGTTTATTTCCACACAGACTTGGTGAGAGTAACGAAAGCTTGCCTTGCCTTCCTGACCTTGCTTTGATATCCTCGTCAGTTCCGCCTGTAGTTGAAACGACGATGCTTCCCAGGTTGGTAGGTAAAGTATGTTGCTTCTTTTAGATTCCTCCCATTCATGCTGACTGGTTGTTGTTGATGTTGGCCAGGAATCTTCATCACCTCAGTTTTCTCTATGCTCATATGAAGTAAGTCCTATCCTTGATACTTCTGCCAACTTGTTGCTTTTCACTCGTATATCTTCCAGTTTGTGGGAAATCAGACATATATCATCGGCGAAGTCCAGATCCTCCAAGTTTTTTGTATGAGTCCATTTTATACCTGTTTCCTCGCTGCCCGCTGTCTGTCTGTCGCATTATCCCAGCTCACATTTAGTAGAACACAATATTAAGTGAAACTGACATGACACGTCAGTTGCCAGATAAGGAAAGTAAGACAATCAATGAAATTTTGAATCGTCATATACAGAAGTGACTAGGGTGTGAGCATTAAGCATGCCCAGACATCATTTACATCGACAAAACAATATTGCATGAAATAGGATGAGACTGCAAAACACTGAAGAGTAATCAGACCAAAAACACCGGACACTAATCTGTCTGTTTTCGACGCAGAACTTTGCAACGATGTGCGACACTCCATGTAGCAAACAAAGCAAGAGAAGAAAGTAGAAGAAATGCAAAATAGAGACAGTAAACAGAAGTGTGAGACAAAGGAATATTAATAACGAAAAACAATATAGTTTCATTGGAAATCATAAGTCACAAGGAGTGGATGCATCCGCGCCAGCCATTGAGAACGATTTTGAGCCATGTCACCAATTGTCTCCAGCGACTGGTTTTTACCGTCGCGAGGATCCTAACCAGCCAGGAAGTCTACGCCTTCCTACGTGGCTTCACTAATCTATGAAGTCACCGACCATTTTGACTGAGAGACGCACCACATAATTCACTGCTGGCTGTCTGTCTGATCAATATTTTCTGGAGGACAAGAAGGAATAGAGGATTGAAAATTCTTGATGACTACTGTAATATTTGATCCAACTATTTTAGACATATAAAAACCAGACAAAAAAACACATCTTGAGAGGACAAAAAAAATTAAGCAACTCACATTAATGCCTTGATTCACCTGCATTAAAGACGATGATGGTAGTGATGCATGGTTCTCCTGTGATGTTGATGTGGAAGTTTGTGAGGCTAAAACAGTCGGTGTCATTATTCCATTATTCGTGGAATGTCCTAATTTTGTAGATGAATTGACATTATCCATAAAGGGAATATTCTGTGAATTGTTACCATCAACTGTCGTCGGCTGGTTATATTTACGCATAGCTGATGTTTTTATACTACTACTACTACTATTATCCGGTTGAAGTAAGTGGCGATTTTGACAAGTGTTTAAGGAGTCATTTGATCGGATTGCTGTTGTTGTTGACGACGATGGTATTACATTTTGTGAACAAGAAGAGGCTGTTTTAAAAGAAAAGAGGAGAATAATTTTATAATAAAATAATCACTAGTTACAAATGTGTACTTAGGGAAATTAGAGAATTATCAAAGTAGCAAACTAGACTCTTATCTGTCTTTCTGTCTGCCTAGCTTCAACATAAAACTTCGCACCAGTGTGCAGCAGTTCCAGTCGCCACACTTCACTCAGCACACAAAGCCAGAGAGGAAAGTAAAAAGAAATGCAAAATAGAGTCAGTAAACAAAAATATAAGGCAAAATGAATAGTAATAACGAAGAACAATATAGTTTCATTGAAAATCATAAGTCACAAGTAGTGGATGCATCTGGGTCAGTCATTGAGAACGATTTTGAGCCATATCACTGATTGTCTCCAGCCATTTGGCGTTTACCGTCCTGATGACGCCAACCAGTCAAGAAGTCTACACCCCCCTACGTGGATCAAACTAACTGTTGTGGATTCCAATGACTGATGAAGCCATGTTTTGGATTGATTATTCTCAATGGCCATGTCTCACTGATAGCCATATAGGAGGACGGAGCGGCCTGCAGAGCAGTACACCCGCTCTTTGGTCAACATCCAGTCGGATACTATGTCTACTAAGGCAGAGACGGCGTAAAATGGAATATACAAAACTAGTCTTCTGTATCCATGAAGAGATCTCGTCAACTATCAACCCCCTGGCGTTGGCTGATGGTACTTACCAAATAAGACAAGTGGTCAACACAACCAGCTTCCATTTCACTCCCTATTTCTAAGCTAGGAGTCAGCGTCTCTGTCTGTCTGGATTCAACATAGAACTTGGCACCGAAGTGCAGAAGTTCGAGTTGCCACATTCCAAATAGAACACAGAGGTAGACAAGAAGATGAGTGAAGAGAATCAATACAGTCTGATAAGTATAAGAGTGAAACAGAATGGGTAATGGTAGAAAGGAATATGAAAGATTACAGAGACTGAATACATCTGCTCTGGCCATTGACAACGATTTTGAGCCATGTCACCTATTGTCTCCAGCCATTGATTCATAGAGTCCCGAGGGCCCCAACTCGGAAGTCTGCATCTCCCTACCTGACTCAGTTTAACTGTCAAGGATTTCATGGATTGATGAGGCCATGTTTTTGTTTGGCCACCACTTACTCTTTTCCAACCTGAACCTATATCAGCTAGTAATGCCCGTCGGGGGAGGCGATGGTTAGGCATACGCACCACGTGACCTAGCCATCTCAATCTACGTAACTTTATAGCCTCGTCGATTGATTTTCCCTCTTTGCCCAACACTCTACGCCTAACGTCAACATTACTTACCTTATTATACCACCTAACGTGAGACAGAGATCGCAAACATCTATGATCGAAAGCAGTCAACCTTTTCATGTCTTCAACGCGTATTGGCCATGTTTCAGATCCATAGAGAAGGACGGAGCGAACTGATGAGCAGTACACACGTCCCTTGGTTGAAAGCCGGATGTCACGCCTACACCACAGATGGTGTAAGTCAGCGAAAGCAGCTCGAGCCTTTTGGATCCGTGCTGAGATTTCGTCGCCAATCAGTCCGTTGGTGCTGATACAACTTCCCAAATAGGTGAAGTGGTCAACATGTTCTATCACTTCGCTCCCTATCACTAAGTTAGGGGTTGACGTCGTCCAGTCCTGTAGCAGCATCTTACATTTTGTAGGGGCGAATCGCATGCCAAACATACGAAGATTGCTGCTCAAGGTGTTCAGAAGACTCTGCATTTTGTCATCATCCTCCCCTAACAGGACTATGTCATCTGCATATTCTAAGTCCATAAGACTATTTCCTGGTAACAAGTCGATTCCTAAGTCATTACGTTCAGTTAAGGATACTTCCATCAGCATATCTATGATGAAGTTAAACAGAAATGGGGAGAGTGGACATCCCTGTCGGACACCACTGGTTGTTATCAATTCAGATGACAATTCCCCATAAGCCCTTACACGACTACGTGAGTTTGAATAGAGTGCCTTGATTAGTGCAATGTACTTTCTTGGCACTCCCTTCACAGTCAGACATTGCCATAGTACCTTTCGATCCACGGAGTCGAAGGCCGCCTTCAAGTCAAGAAATATGGCAATTGTTGGACGCCGAAAAGTGTGTCTATGTTCTAGAATCTGTCGGAGAGTGAAGATATGATCTATGCACCCTCTACCTGGTCTAAAGCCTCCTTGATTTTCCCTCGTTTGTTCCTCCCGAGTTCTGCTTAGTCTGTGCATGATTACTGAGCCTAGGATTTTAGAGACTATGTTCGTTAGGCTGATCCCCCTATGATTATCACACGAGGACTTGTTTCCCTTCTTGAATATCGGTATAATAAGTGACTTACCCCAGTCTGATGGAACCGTCTCTGATTCCCAGACGTTGCCTAGTACCTCAGTTAATCTACAAACTGTCAGACTGTATTGATTCTCTTTACTCATCTTCTTGTCTACTTTTGTGTTCTATTTGGAAGGTGGCAACTCGAACTTCTGCACTTCGGTGCCAAGTTCTATGCTGAATCCAGACAGATAGAGACGTTCGCCGACCATACAAGTGGCCCGGGGTTCTATTCCCGACAGACAAGGCACTCCTTTACCTCGTTTAGTCAGTAATAACGCTGGTAAAGAGGCAAAGTTGAGCAAGAGGCTAGCAACCCCACCTTGCAAAAAGAATAAAACACTGCTACTGAAGCTACAACCCTCTAGCTTGAAGCTCGAAGTTCCACTGGGAACATGAAGGAATAAAGTTAAATCTTTTGTATTTATTTAGATCGATACATCAGAGGCAGTTAATTGCGACTTGAATTTCCTCATGTTGTTGAGCCTATATTATTACTTGCTTAGAGGAATGATATAATTATATCAAAAGTTAGGTTTGGCCGTCTTAGAAGTGTTTTATAGATTTTTATTACCTACTAGATAACATAAACGGGGATTAAGAAAACAAGCAAGGGTAATAGCTGAAGTTAGTGACGTATTATTCATTTGATCTAGACTTCGCCGAATATATATGTCTGATTTCCCACAAACTAGAAGATATGCAAGTGAAAAGCAACGTGTTGGCAGAAGAAGCATCAAAGATAGAACTTCAAGTGAACATAGATAAAACAGAGGTGATGAAGATTCTTGGCCAACACCAACAGCAACTACAACAACAGACGACAATCAGCCAGCATAAATGGGAGGAACCTGAAAGAAGCAACCTCCATCTACCTACCTACATGCCTAGCTGGGAAGCATCGTTTCAACTACAATCGGAACTGACGAGGATATCACAGCAAGAATCAGACAAGCAAGAGAAGCTTTCATTACTCTTAAGTCTGTGTGGAAGTCAACAGCACTCACCATCAAAAATAACATCCGGATTTTCAACTCCAATGTGAAGTCAGTCACTGCTACTTACTATACGGATCAGAGACTTGGCCAGCGCGTCATAAAGAGCACCTCAAACAAACAACAGACCTTCATCAACTTCTGTCTTCGCTCAGTACTCAATATCAGATGACCAGAAAAGATCAGCAACAGGGATCTCTGGCAATCAGCGAACCAACCAGGAACAGATTATGCAACAAATAAGCAGGGAGAAATGGAGATGATTGGCCATACTCTGAGGAAACAAACCATCAAGTGACATCACTAGACAAGCCATTGCTCAAGCTCAAGACAACCCCTCGAATGGAACCCGAAAGGGAAGCGGCGAGTTGGTCATCAATGCGAGGGTGACTTGGAGGAGGTCATGTGAAGAGGAGATGAAAGCATGTGGGCAGACTTGGAGCGGGATGAAAAAGTTGACAGAAAAGAGAAGGCAATGGAGATGCGCAGCTGAAGCCCTATGTTCCTCTAGGAATTAAAGGATACAATAATAAATAATAATAACAATTCATGTGATTGGTGAACTCCGTCAACTCTGGTCACACATGATAACCGAGAGGGTATGAACACTAAGTTCAAATGTTTATTTGAAAAGGCATTGTTCGCGACTTTTAAGATAGCAGGTTTTTCATTCCTTCAAATTCCCAGTGGAACATATATAGGGTTTCAAGCTAGAGACTTGAAGTTTCTATAACAGTGGTGTTTATTTTTACAGGATGGGGTTGCTAGCCAGCCTCATGCCAAATCTTTCCTGTTTACCAGTATTTTTTATTACTGGCTTAGTGAGGTAAGGGAGTTCATCGGCTGAGGATCGAACCCCGGGCCACATGAGGCGTGGTTGGCGAGCATTCTACCGTTGTGCCGCCAACGCACATATAGCATAACATCTATTAATTGGGTTAGTCGGTAGTTACAGGCTGTAAGCCACATTTATTTTGTGGAGACTGAGAGTACTAGCCAGTTGCCCAGGCTTAATTGCAGTGTGAAATATTATATATATATTCTTCGATAAGACCAAAATATGTGACAATTAAGAGTAGATAATAAAAGTGTGAAATAAACGAAAAGCAACAAAGTAAATTGATCAGTTTGCAGGAATTTGATTGATTATAGGATCTCATCACGAGCTGATACAAGTTAAAGAAGCATTACCAAAACCAGCACCAGGGAACTGGACAGCCAGCTGTTTCGTCCTAGTGCTTGGGACTCCTCTAAAGGAGTGCACACCCACTGCCAAGGTTCTAACTCACTACCTTCCGGTTATAAGGCGACAGTGCTCGTAGACCATTCAGCAGCCGACGCAATGACCAGCCCCTAAATTCCAACTTCTGCCAATTCACGCACGACATACCATGACTACCACTAGCCAGTGTCATCAGTGGTGGCGAGTATTTATCCTCACACCCCCGACCTGCTGTACGCCAATGATCATGACTTCTCACTAAAACTCTAGGCAACTTCAACACCCTAGAAACTAACTCGTGAAAATCATTCTGATGCTCACTAGTGACTGGTCATTGGATCGGGTCTTTCCTACTGCCTACATGGTCTATCAGCTTGCTCTCCTTGTCACAGGAAGATCGTGAGTTCGAACCCTGACGGTAGATACGTACCATATAGACGAGTCCCAAACCAGAGTGACGAAACAGTTGTTCAGTACTCCTCGTGGCTGGGTTTTAGTGGTTCTTTAACTCAGATTAATTGGTGATTAAACTTGAAACAAAACAAAACAAACTCATGGAAATAAAAATTTAGTTTATAAAGCGAAAATTTCACTTGTATTCAAGGATAAATAAATCATAAAAACCGCGTACTCAAGGCTACCTCCATTGATTCAAGATATCAAAATGGTTGAAACAGTTTGAAAAGAGGAAGTGAAGACACAAGTGAACTTCCTGTCATTATTATTATTATTATGTATAAAATAGGTTCAAGTTGTTTGCTTATTACAATGTTATCTATCTTGTAATATCCTGAATCCTGTTTCATTTTTGTGCTAAGAACTACTTACTTAATGTTCTTCTACTTTCCTCTCTTGCTTTGTGTACTATATGGAGTATGGCGACTTGAACTGATGCACATCGGATGCAAAATTCTATGTCGAAAAGTTCTTCTAACTGAAATACCTCCGCAGTATGCTGGATATTTAGATCTCCCTGTAATAAAGCTGTGAAATCAAGCAAGATCCTTTTATCCCGTTAAAAAAATTTTTTTATTCTTCCTTCCCTCGGGGAAGAACGACAAGGAAAAATAAAACAAATCAATAAGGAAGAGAGAGAGAGAGTATACCAAAATTATTCGTTGTACAGAATCAATACATTCACATATTTGTGATGAATTTCAGGCGAGGACGCTAACAGTTTCTCATAATAGATTGCAAGTATCTGAAGAATTTAAGTCTGGTGCATGACACACTTACGTACAACCTGGTGTTTAGTGAAATGAGATGGATCGAATATAATACAAAGTGACAAACTACAAAACTTTTATCCTATCCACTGAGATAAGTTTGCCCTCTTTATTTTTGTCTAATAATACGACAGAGTGACTGACTGAATTTCAACATAGAACTTTGTACAGATGTGCACCAGTTCAGCTTGCTACACACACTTCACGCAACACATGAAGATAAACAAAAAAGAGAAATTCAAGTGTTGGTTTGTAGGGATTAGATTGGTTTCAGGATTTCATCATGAGCTGACATCAGTTAGAGAACCATTGGAAAACCTGGGAGTACTAGACAGCTGTTTCACCCGTCCTAGTTTGCGGCTCTTCAGCAGTACGCACCCACTGGGATTCGAGCCCAGGACCTTCCGATTACAAGGCGAGCTCGTATACCAAAAAAAAAGAAAATTAGATTTTAAAAATAATAGGGATGACAAGCGTGACACATGTCCTAACTATCTCTCTCAGTCGATGTAGCTGCTTCACAACCTCGTCTATTGATTTCCCCTCCTTACCTAACATTCAACCGAAGCCTAACCTCAATATTGCCTCAATATCGCTCACCTGATTACACCACTTACCACGGGAGATAAAAGGCAGACACGTAAAATCAAAAACAACTAGCCAGCCTTTTCATGTCCTCCACTTTCAATGTTCATGTCTCACTGACAAACATACAGAGAACTGGTGAGCAGAACACATATCCTTTGGTTAACAGTCGGATATCACGTCTAGTAAGCCAGAGGTGGTGTAAGTTGACAGGGAAATGGCAAACGAGGCTTCTGTATCCAAGATGAGATTCCGTCAGCGACCAACCCACTGGGGTTGGCTGATGCAACTTCCCAGATAAATGAAGCGGTCAACACGTTCGGCCAACACTTCACTTTTGCCGACTATCTTTGAGCCAGGAATGAGTCGATGTTGTCCAGCCCTGTATCACCATCTTACATTTGTCAGCAGGAGTGAATCACATGCCAAACACCCAATGATTGCTTTCAACTCAAGGTGTTCAGAAGACTGTGCTCTTTTTTGTCAGCGTCTTCACCTAGAAAGAAGGGCTATATCATCTGCATATTCTAAGTCAATGAGACTGTTATTCTCTGGTGGTAACAAGTCAATCCCCAAGTCGCTGAAGCTAGTCAGGGTTAAGTTCATTAGTACATGTGTCATGAAACTATACAAAATTGAAGACAGTGGACATCGTACATTATATATGATAATCGTTGATATCGGAACATACAGGGAAAAGGCCGTTTCACTTAGTCAACATACAACTGCAAAGTATAAGCAAATGACAACTCAGTTCTACTGATATTTTATAATCATAAAGGTAGGCAAAACTGTTCAAAATAAACTTACTATAGCACTGATTTGGTATTTTTGCATTACTATCAAGTAGACTGCCAAATTTACGTATTATATCTTGTACAGGTAGAGTGGTACGTTCAATTGAATCATTCTCCTCTTTTGATGATATTTCCGAAGGAGTTTTCACAGGATTTGTATTACAGGATCCTGTCGTCTATCAGAAAGTATGTTTTTGGGTGGAGGGGAAGAAGGGAATAAATAAATAACTAAAAGTACAAGAGGATAACTGATGTAAAACCGTCAACAAAAGCAAAACGATAAACAGGCAGTAAGACACTCCATTTTAGATAAGATTTTATTTTGATAAACTGTCACACAGTGTTTGTTATACAGTTATATTCATTAATGACCACCTTTCAAGCACAAATTACTGCCACTCATAATCATATCAAGTCACTCACTCACACAACTTTCTTGCTTCATTTACATACATGAGTAAAAATTGATGAATAGACATTTGAGTAAAAGTCAATTTAAGATAAAGTACATTCAGAAGTAATATTAGTGTTATCAATCAATTACAGTCAGATGGGAAATAAGACGAGTGTTTCTATAGTCAAAATAAGTATCCCCTATCGTAGCAGACATGTTTGTGGATAGTTGGGAAAATATTGCTTTTAATACATTTAATCCTACTCCAAAAATATGGTAGAGATATATGGATGACACTTTCACAGTGTGTTAAAAACAGGCCATATCTCTTTCTAACTTTTCGACACATATAAACTCACAAATAGAGGGAATAAACTTCACATTTCAATCGCAAAATGAACAAGGAGAATTAGCAATGATGTTAGATTGTGTAATAAAACGAATAGAAGGTAAATTGCAAATTAGCGTGTATAAATGCCAACACATTCTGCTAATAGATATTTAGACTTTAACTCATGTCATGTCTGTGGAGGCAGACTATGTTAAGTGTTTAACAAACAGAGCAGTAGCACTAAGTAGTACAAAAACACCTGAACGATGAAATGTAACAGATAGGAGAACAGCTGGTTGGTGCTAAATAACTATCCCATAAAATTTGTTAGGAAGATCAGAAAAGGTCAAAAGCAAAATAAAAATGATGGTGAAACTAATAATGATAACATAAATAAGAGAAAATATAGGGCGTCTACTGCCATACCATATAAGGATGGGACATCTGAAACATTATGTAGGATTTTCAATAAAGCAGGAATTAGGGTGGCATTCAAGCCTACAAACTCACTCGGGTAAGACAAGCTCTGTAGGTTGACCCAAATAAACAAAATGATATAATTTACAAAATACTTTGTTATGACTGTGAGGTCACCTGCATAGGTCAATTAGACCAGTAGATCGGAAATATTCAGGTTATCAGAACATAAGAATTTAGTTAAAGTAAGAATGGCTGACCCAGAGAAGATAAATAATTTTTTTAAAAAGCTTAGCGATTGCACTGCTAACACAAAGCCAAACAATAGAGTGGGAGAGGGTTAAGATTCTAAGAAGTAATCTATGTAGGTGAAGAGAGAGATTGATTACTGAATCTTGGTTCATTGGATCTACACCCGAAATATGCAACAGAAATAACTCAATACAAATGCCAGAGATATGGAAGATATGAGTACCACCAATCAAATCAGAGGAGACTAATAAATAATACGAATCCACCTGAAGAAGCCAAACTTGTGTGTTGAGAAGAAATTTGTACAGCCACTTTCCTTACCTGGGCCATGGTTACATGATTGCATAAACTGGACTACTTCATTCCCCTCCCTCTAAAAATTTTTTTCTTTTTTAAAAAACTATAACTGTCCAAATTACTTTATTCTTCTGACTACTTCATCTTTAATTACGTGTTATCCTTGTTAAAATTATTTTATTCTTATGACCACTTCAACTTTAGTTACAAATTATCATTGTCCAAATTGTTTTATTTTCTTTAGCAATCTGTTACCTAATCAACCTGTGCACACGCTTATCCCTTAATTGCTCTTCATTTTTCCCAAATTATGCATTATGCAATCCACTTGCTGTAATCATTTCCACCTTTTAATTATATATATATATATTAATTAATTATCACCCCATTGAAATTTTGACATTGACTAATTATTGTTAACAAACATATCAGTGCCACTTGATTGGTAAATTGTTGTGTATTGTAATAAAAATAATAAATAATGTTAAAATGTATTCAATTCATTCTAAGAATTTTCTATAGTTTGATTTGTAAGGGTTAGTTATGTTTTTACGAGTTGATCACGGATTGATATCATTCTTAGAAGTTACCTATTCTTACTGTAAAAAACAACTTATTTCCCATCTGACTGTAATTAATTGATAACACTAATATTACTTCTGAATGTACTTTATCTTAAATTGACTTTTACTCAAATGTCTATTCATCAATTTTTACTCATGTATGTAAATGAAGCAAGAAAGTTGTGTGAGTGAGTGACTTGATATGATTATGAGTGGCAGTAATTTGTGCTTGAAACGTGGTCATCAGTTAATATTACTGTATAACAAACACTGTGTGACAGTTTGTCAAAATAAAATCTTATCTATAACAGAGTTATACTCTACGAGCACAGTGCCCAAGTTATATGCTTATATCAATAAGGCAGGGAGACATTTACAACAGGATAATGAGTCAAACAAGAAAGGCAGTCAGTTTATTCATAATGTATCAGTTATTGAGACTACAGATGAATGCAGCTCTGAGTAGTTGAGGTGGAACAAAGATATGGGCTAACAGCTAGCCATTTCTTAGACCAGTGTTAGAAGATTTTCACAACAGTAAACTTAAGGGTAATTGGTTCGAGTGATGATATAACCAACATTCACTACAAATTTCATGTGTATCACTCAATCAATCTACGGTTATCTCAGATAAAGTATTACACGAATACGTTTTCGTTTCTGTTAAGGATTTTACAGTCATTTACACGAAACCATCCCGAAAAATCCGATCACAGAAAGTTGACTGATTGAATGACTGATTTCAACGTAGAACATTTCAGAGATGTATGCCAGTTCATATTGCCACACTCCCTCCATGTAGAACAAAAAGCAACATAAAAGAGAGGAAACACAGATTCATTAAAAGAGAGATAATAAACAAAAGTGTAAGTGAGGGTAAACGTACAGTAATATGGAAAAACAATAGAGTCCTATTGCATGAATATGACAGATCACCCACAGAGAGTGAATGCGTCTGCGCTATGCATTGAGAACGAGGATTTTGAGGCATATCACCGATTTTCTCCAGCCGCCATTGCTTATTACCACCCTGAGCATCCCAACCAACCAAGAAGTTTACAACTCCCCGTGACTGGCTGGCTCAAACTAACTGTAATCGATCTCATTAACTGAAATCATGTTTCGGTTTAAACACTACTAGCTCGTTTCTAATCTGTCTGTCTGTTTTCGACATAGAACTTTGCACAGATGTGCGGAAGTTCAAGTCGCCACACTCCGTGTAGCACGCGAATCAAGAGAAGAAAGTACAAGAAAAGCATAATAGAGACAGTAAGCAGAGGTGTGAGACAAAGAAATAGGAGTAACGAAGAACAATATAGTTTCATTGGAGATCATAAGTCACAAGGAGTGGATGCATCTGTGCCAGATATTGAGAACGATTTTGAGCCATGTCACCAATTGTTTCCAACCATCGATTTTTACCGTCCCGAGGACCCCAAACAGTCAGGAAGTCTACACCTTCCTACGTGGCTTAGACCAACTGTTGTGGATTTCATTGACTGGTGCCAAGTTTTCGTTTGACCGCCGCTGGCTTTTTTCCAGCCTGACCCTGTATCCGCTAACATTGCTCGTCGAGGGAGGCGATGGCTTGGAATACGTAACACATGTCCTAACCATCTCAGTCTTTGTAACTTCACGACTTCATCGATTGATTTCCCCTGTTTACCTAGAACTCGACGCCTAACACCAATGTTGCTCACCTTATTATGCCACTTTACACGGGTAACAGAGCGCAGGCACCTATGATCAAAGACAGCTAGTCTTTTCATGTCTTCCACTCTCAATGGCCAGGTCTCACAGCTGGCCATAAAGGAGGATGGAGCGGACTGATGAGCAGTACACCCGCCGTTTGGTCGATAGCCAGTCGGATGTCACGTCTACGCCAGAGACGGCGTAAACTGACAAATGCGAAACAACCCTCTGTATCCGTACTGAGATTTCATCAGAGATCAACCCGTTGACGGTACTTCCGGCTGACGGTACTTCCCAAATAAGTGAAGCGGTCAACGTGCTCTACCACTTCACTTCCTATTTTTAAACTAGGCGTCGATGTAGTCCAGTCCTGTAACATCATCTTGCATTTGGTGGGAGCGAATCGCATGCCAAACATTCGTAGATTACAGCTCAAGTTGTTCAGAAGACTCTGCATTTCGTCAGCGTCCTCGCCTAGAAGGACTATATCGCCTGCATATTCCAAGTCAACGAGATTATTCCCTGGTAGCAAGTTAATTCCTGAGTCGCTGAAGTCACTTAGGGTTAAGTCCATTGTTTTCATCTTCATCAATCCGAAACGTTTCTAATCTGATCCTATGTCAGTCAGCTGACGTTGCCCATCGACGAAGGCGACGGTTGGGCATGCAAAACAAATGTCCTAACCATTTCAACCTAACACTGAACCGAAGCATAACCTCAATATTACTCAACCTACCTTACCACTTAACACGGGAGATAGAAAGTAGACATCAATGATCAGAGACAACTAGCTAGCCTTTTCATCTCTTTGTACCTCAAGGCGGACGATTTTGATGTCGTTGTGTTCTCTAAGCTGGATGGTTGACTTGAGAAGGAAGCTTTCATCGCCTCACTATAAGGTAAAATCTTTGGTGCATACTTCAATTTGAAGTAAGATTTTACATTTCTACACGAGTTTATTAGTCTTCTTTTCTGGTGACCATGGATGTGATTATTCGCTTTTGTCTATATTCACATCCTCTAAATTACTTGTATTGGTACTGATTGTTTCCTTGACCTGAAGTTTGACCCTTTGTGTGTGTGTGAAATTTCCTTCTTATAGATTGGTAAATTTTATCTCCATCAATGTGCCTGTTAATTGCCGACTCAATGGAATACTAGGCTTCGAAAAATTGTCTAGTGTTCTTGGTGTTTCAGACTTTTCAAATCCTTAGGAGGAATTGATGGCACACACACAAACTAACAAAACCACTTCACTCAGATGGCTCTGTGTCAACCAAAAGACTCAACAGAGAAAGAAGATTAAAGCCAACATCATCTATTAAATAAATTGAAACGACTGTGAAGAACACCACATTGGCTAAAGCGGACACCCTCTTCATCCTTTCATCTACGAACACAAACTAGTCGTTAAGAGACATGATGATATCCACTCCCTCATATCTCTGCATACAGACAACCACGGACATCAATTCGACTGGGACAACCAACGTTCAAATATCGGACAGAGGAAACACGAAGAACGTCAGATAATTTTGGGAAGCCCGGTATTCCGGTGAATCGGAAATTAACAGACACATTGATGTAGATAAAATTTATCAATCCAAAAGCGGAAAATCTCATACACAAAAGGTTAAACTTCAGGTCAAGGAAACGATCAATGCCAATACCACAAGTAGACTAGAGGTGGGGAAAACAGACGAAATCAACCAATCACGAGGATCAAGGTTACAATGACCACCACCAGGAGAGATGACTAATGAACACGTGTAGAAATCTAAAAGGTCACTTCAACAAATTGAAGTATGCGCTGAAGATGTTACCTAGTGGTGAGGCAATGAAAGCTTCGCAAATAAACCATCCGTCCAACTCAGAGAACACAACTACATCAAAAAGTACTGTTCAGTTTAGTTTACAATGTATTTTTTTCATACCTCCTATATAATCGTAATTAGAATATTTAAACTATATGCTTGAGTTTTTGGGTAAGGGATTTTACAAAGGTTTCTTAAACTAATAATGTACAAAAAGATAAAAACAGATAACTTGTAGTGCATTCACTTCACTTATATAAGTAATATACATACCTTTATTAAATGGCCTGTTCCATTACCCCTGTCACAGAATGCATTCAATCCTTTCGTATTCTCTATAAGAGGTGTATCTAAATCTTGTTTAGAACAATTCGGTACACTTGTCAATCGTGTAGATGGAGCTCTCTGAGGAATTGATGGTCTTGTTGTGGATTTATTCGTTGAGGAATTAGAAGATTGTGTGCAACGGCTGTTATTTGTACAACAATATGAGTCCGCACTTGTATCTACTTCATGGTGAGGCTAATTTGAAAATATATGAATTTTTTAAAAATATTGTGATCAAAAGTAAATTAATAATAATAATAATAATGATCTACTTTATTCCAAAAACAGTACTTATAATACAGAATGGAATTCTCAGCATTTGTCACAATATTGCATCTGATTTACTTAAAATATGAATAAAATTAAAACAAAATTAACCAGAGGGATTTGTCCACATTTACGATGTAAAGTCAAAAATATTCGAAGCACGAATTGAGATCATTAGATATAATAATAATAATAATAATAACAGTGAGCTTGTTTCAAACAGTATTGTCGATTCAGTTTGAAGACTTTAGCATGTTCTGTTGATGTAGTATAGTGAGGCGAAATACAAGATTAACAGTGGTAACACAGCTTAAACGATGTTCACACTTATGAAAAATAAATAAATAAAAACAAAAAATTGAGAGGATTATAAATATAAGAAATACAATAACAATAAATTTTGGTTAGGATGGAAGAAATAGTTTATTTAGTAGTGCGAAGAAGGTTAGTTAGTTCATGCCTGACACCATTTTCATCACATAAATTACATGCTAAATATGTTAAAGTGGAATTTTTATACTTAGACGTAAGTGCATAAAGTCTTCTGAAAAGACTTCTTGTTTTACCTGAGGAGACACAAGGTTGGAGCTGCGGGTAGAGTGAGTGCTCAGAGTCTGACAAAATTCCTTTGGTAAATTTGTTGCATGACATCAAGTACCTTTCAGTGGCAATGTCAACGATATAGCCCAATGGTATAGGATACCACTCGTCCTACTGACAGTCTTCAGATTTCTACACAGTATGACATAGTCTTTTTCAAGCAATCCAGGAAAAAATAAGGCTGAACAGTAAAGAAGAATAGGTAAAATACGCGAGTTGACAAACTGTGAGAAGAGGGATTAGTTGGGTTATGTCTGAGTGCCTTAACTTCTTAATGTAAAAAGTCAGACGAAATATTCTTTTAGAAATCGCTAAGACATGGGAAGACCAGGGTCGGTCAGAAGAAAGAATTAATCCCAGATACTTAACTTCAGACTTGATTTCTATATCAGTATCATCAATTTTGCAAGGGTCATAGGAACCAACGGCTTCATTTAACTTTCGTTTACATCGGAAACTGAAATTAACAGTTTGACATTTGGAAGGATTTAGTTTAAGGCCGTTACACGAAGACCATTTGCTAACCACTGACAGAAAGCTGTTCATAATAGCACAGTCAAGCTGGGAGTTAACAGACATTGAAATAGTTAGATCATCGGCATACTTAACAAAGTTGATTTCATCAGAGTGAGGTAAGTCATACAAGAAGAAAGGACAGCGCCTTGAAGGACACCAGCCTCAGTAAGCAACTAAGTGGACGACTTTCCCTGACATACAGTGTACTGCTTTCTTCCTAAGAAATACAAATGCAGCCATTTGACAACCCAACAGTTAGCAAGCCTGTTTAACAGAATGACCCTAGATACTAAGTCGAAAGCAGATATGTAATCTAGGAAGGTGCAGCGAACAAATTTAGCCCCCTTGTCTAAGCTGGAGACAATGTTACGATACAAGACGGCAGCAACTACATCTAAAGTACTTCTATTGTGTTTATAAGCGAATTGTTTGGGATCGTTAAAGGCTTTAAGTGAAGGTTGGAGATTAAGTAAAAGTAACTTTTCCATAGCTTTTAGAAAAGGGGAGATAAGAGCAATAGGTCTAAATTTAAAACATGTTCCAGTAAATAACAACATTTGAACTGATGAAAAGGTTGAAAAAATCTTATTGAATAATAAAATACATAAAAATGAATCGACTTCTTAGAAAAGGCTTTCGACAGACAACATTGAACGAGAAGTAATTTGGAGACTACTTCAACACTATGGTGGAGTGCACTGCACAAATCTTCTGTCAACTGCATTCAACAGCCGGCTGTATGATAAATGCCACGTGTTAGGTGATCTACAACGGAAAACACAGTGAAGCTAGAAGTAAGACAAGACTGCCCGCCTACCTAATTATGGTGGACTGGATTATGCGTCAGACTGTGGGCAGCAAGGAGACGGGAATACTATGGATTACGGATAAGAAAACTCTTGAAGATCTTAATGGATGACTTGCAGGTGGAAACCAATAAGTTGGTAGGAGAAGCAAGTAGCGTAGGACTTCAAGTGAACATAGAGAAGACGGAGGTGATTAAGGTAACCAACCAACAAACAACAGCAACAATCAACAACACTAATCACTATCAACGGAATAAATTTGAAAGAGGTCAATTCCTTCATTTATCAGGAAGTGTCGCTTCAATTACAACCAGTGGACACGGATGAATATGTCACAGCCGAAATAGGAAAGGCAAGGCAAGATAAACCTTCATCAATATGAAGTCAATTTGGAAAGCTTCTGAACTCAGAGCAAACAGTAAGATTCCGATTTTCAACACGAATGTGAAGTCAGTTGGTTTTTCAATATGGGTGAGAAACTTAACCAGTGCGTCATGGAAAGCATTTCCAACAGGCTGTCGCAGACTTTTATCAACAGCTACCCTCTTCGCTAGCTCCAGATTGAAGATCAAATGGCCGACCTGAAAGAATTAGCAACAAAAAACCAACCAAGAGCCGATTGCTCAACAAATATGTAGAAAATGAAGATTAATTGAGCATACACTGAGGAGAGCGTCAAATAACATCGTACGCCAGGCTTTAGAGAGGAACCCAAATGGGAAATGACGAGTGGGTAGTCTGAGAGTGACATGGAGGAGATCGTGTGGCGAGTAGGTGATGAGATATATAATGGGCAATCATGGACTCAGCTGAAGAGGACAGTACCGAATAGAAGAAAGCAGAGATGTATTGTTGAAGCCCTATGTTTCACACGGAATCCAAAGGAATAATAATAATAAATATTCGTTGAAATAAAACTATTATAGTGACTAACATAGCTTGTTCAATAATAGTCTCTAATATTTTTTCAATTATGGCACAAGTATTCTTTTGCATACATCAGCATTGAATCTTTTAGCCTTGATGCTAATCCGTCTATTATCTGGATGGGTATCAGTAGCGGACATCCAAGTGGGACATAGATCAAGTTTCTTTTGTTTGTTTTGAAGTTTCATTAGCAGTGGTGTTGTTCCTATAAGGTGGGGTTGTTGACTTCACGTCCAACTCGACCTCTTTTTCGGACTTACTGCTGTCTAGTATACTAAGCGAGGTTTCGCAATTTATGGTGTCGCTAACCGTCGGTCTAACTGATATCTGTAGGCACATATTATCTGCAGTTCGTAAGACAAGTTAAACTAATGAAAGGAGGCTTTCAACTTATCTGATTCACAATTTATCTCATTGATGTAGTTGTGTTCATGTCTGATTATCTCCTTATTTAATTTCTTTTCAACTTCTTTTGTCTCAATACATATTATTATTATTATTATTATTCCATTGGATACCGAGTGGAACATAGGCCTTCAACAACACATCTCCAATTTCTTCTATTTTCTAATATCCTCTTCATCTGGGTCCAAGATTGCATATTAATATCTCATCTCCTCCTCACCAAGCGATCTCCTCCATGTTACCCTCTCTCACCGAAGACCCAATTGTCGCTTCCCATTCGGATTCCACTCGAGTTATATCCTGAATTGCGCGCGATGTTATTCGACGGCCTCACCAACGTATTCCCGATCAACCCATCGCCATTTTCGCCTACATGCTTGTTGAGCAATCGACTCTTGGTTGGTTTGTTGCTAGCCAGAGTTTCTTGTTGCTAATTCTTCCGTCCGGCTGGCCATTCGATCTCCAATATGGAGCAAGAGAACGGGGCAGCTGCTGATAAAAGTCTGCGATCTGTTGAAAATCCTTTTCATGACCCTGGTGCTAAATTTCTGACCCGTATAGAAAGACCAACTTCAAGTTGATAAGACTACTTTAATTCCTATCTTACCTCTCCTCTAAGTACGTTTCACGTGATACGCAGATAAGAAGTGTGGCAACTTGGATTGTGATGTAATAATGTCAGACCTTGTATGAATATATATATCTTGCTCTCTTAATCTCTAATTTACTAATAACAATAATAACAGTTTTTCACATGCCACTAGAAGTAACAATTGATTATGATCCGATAGGTAGGAACTGGGCATCACTGAAAATGTCACCAGACATGAGAGATATATAGATTAGAAAGCACATGAATAGGTAGATGATAAATAACTCATAATGATAATAATATGTCTACTATTTCAGAGAAAGTATTTATATAAGTGTGTCCAATTTTAAACAGAATACATCATCTAGGTGTCTTGTTTCATAAATGGTCTCCAGACTTTCACTGACTTAAACTGCAGATATTTACAGAAAACTTTTTTTGAGGCTGAATTTAGAATAACTTTCTCGACGAAACCAATCATTCGCATGAACGTGAAAGATACGCTACCACTGTTGACTGTACCCAGCGTTTGCTATTCAAACATAACATCGACCATTTACCCTCATGATTTTATAAAGCACAAGAAAGATTCCCACCCGTACAGCTTTATATCCTAGAATACCTGATAGAATTAGGACACCAAGTTAACATCCACAAAGGGACTTCAAAGTTATTATCTACAGAATACATGAGAATCTATCTTTCAAAACGAGTACGAATTAAACTTCCTCAAACCTCAGAAACAATGGCAATTCGCATATTCAATCCTGAAATCTGCATACAGAAGAAGTTTGTACGGATAAATGAAATTCGCTTTTGAAAAGCAAATCCAACAACATGATTTTTGGTTATCCGATTTATTTCAAGAAGAACTTCGTCACCAACCGACATCTCAACGAAGAAATTATTAAAAACCGAATGGCGCTTAGACAGCTTTTTCACACTGGTTTGGAACTCGTCATCAATGCGCACGTTGAATTCTTTAACTTTATTCCTTAAACCACTTGCTCCATAGAGAGTCACAAAACATTAGAAATTTACTTTCCTACTTTATCTCTATTTGTCGAGTAGTGGTGAAGTTA